ATGCTCTACATTCATCTGGTGATCTCTCCAGATTTAGGGGCAGTGGTTTGCCCTATGACTCCATATCTTTGATGGATCTAAGAATTGTTAAATTTTCAGTTTATTCAGCATTTTCACTTCTTAGAATGGAGTGGCAATTTCAGAGTCTTACATGCCTATATTGGATGGATACCAGAAGTTGTCTCCCCTAACCCCCAACCCCAGTCTTTCCATAGCTAGTTTCTTCTTACCATTCCTGTCTGGGCTCACATGTGATTTCATCAGAGTTCTTTCCTTCCCTCTCTTCCCTTCCCTAATGTTGCCCTCCCTATCCCTTACTGAAATACTGTATTCTCTTACCACCTATTGCTGTCTGAAATCTTAAGTTATCATATCTGTTTACTTATGAATGTTTCTTCCCCCTCTGGACTGTCAGCTCCATGGTGGTGGGAATTTTGTTCCACTTGTTCATTTTTATTTCACCAGCGTGTTTAAGACGTTGCTTGGCATGTGGTATTCTATAAACATTTGTGATTTAATTACATATTCAGTGTGTGCTAGTTTAAATCCACATATATGAGTGTCTTTTGTTAACTTTGTTTAGTTCAAATTTCTTAATATTTCAGGTGTTTTAAGAGATATTCCAGGTCCTCTCTGAATCGGCAGCAGGATCTGTCTCACTGTCCACCTCCTCCTCAGCTGAGATTACTTGATTTCTTACAAAAAAGGAAGGAAAGAAAAGCAGGTCAGCATTATGACCTCAAAATTTCTAAAGCAGGAAATGTAAGTATATGTTTTTTAAATGAAGCTTATTATTACACCAAAAAGCTTGCCTCATTTTGAATATTTGGTGTATTTATACTGTTTTTAATTTTTCAGTGTGTAGATATGTGGAAACGGAGTCCCTGTAATTTGGCCATACCTTCTGAAGTGGATGTGAGTCAGTTCATGAATTTTCAGATAAAGTTCCTAAGTTTTACTATTAGGTAGTTTATACCTTGAGAAAACAAAGAAACTTAAGTCTTTTAAAAACAAAATGACTTTTTTCAAAAAATCAATTGGTCATTTTTGGAAGCCGTATATTCTTCTTTCACATTAAGTTATGTAAGAACATGACCTTTTAATATCTTACTGTGTTTAGAGCAGGAATAGTAAACAAAAAAATAATATGGTATATATTACATAATACACATGAAATTCCCCTTTTTTCTTTGTGTAATATTTCCTCATAGTTTCCTAATAATGCTTCTTGCCTCAAACTGGTTAATTCAAAGATTAATAATACTGGAACAGTGACCAAGAATAGGAACCTTGGGTGGTATTCTTTACTGATCCGTAATGTACATGAACTATAAATGTTTGAAGACAGGAGAGGGATATTCTGATGAGAGGTTGTATAATTTATTTTCCTATTTGTTTCTCCTGTGTTCTTATTTATTATTCATGCAAGTCTTTATAATTGTTTAGTTATTTTCACAGATTTTGTTGTTTCTTGTACCTTTTCCAGGCTAGCACATGTACTATTCTTACTAGCTATAACTTAAAAAAAAAAATTATGCAGAGCACAAAGCCAAAAACATCAGTAGACTGTATATACTACTCGAGGTCTTTTGGTAGCTTATGTGCTGCTCCTCAAGGAATACAACCTGAGCCTAGAAGTTTAGTATAAATACTGAAAGGTAGAAGAATTTAGCTTTGGAGAGCAGGCTGGATATCTAAAACAGTACATGCGAAACTTTAACGTACATACAAATCACCTGGAGAGCTTGTTAAATTGTAGATTCCCATTCTGCAAGTCTGGTCTGAGGCCTGAGATGCTGCAGTTCTCACATCTCCAAGTTACGTGGTGCTGGAGTCCACAGACCACACTTTGAGTGGCAAGGCGCTAAAACAAATTTCTCAGTCTACCTTAATAAGAAGAACCACCTAGCATATCAGTTAAACATAGATTTTAAGCCTCATTTAAGACCTGCCTACTTAGTCATGGTCTCCAGTGGGTGGGACATTAAAATTTGTATTTTTTATAGGTACCCAGATGAATCTAAAATACTCTTAAGATCATGGTTACCAATAAAGATGAGAACATTTGATTCGTATAGATGCTTAGGACATATGGAGTATATGGCTGAAGTCTGACTAGAAAGTGGAAAACATTCAAAAAATTTTATCAACTTTAATATTGTATTTTCCCTTGTCTCCTTTAGTTTTGTCCCCACTGTTACATGACAATTCCTGTTCCATTAAAAACTTTGCCAAAAGGAAAAGATCTTGATTCTTGTATCTCTGACATTCTAATTTTCCTAACAGAAGAGCTCTGAAGGACAAATGTAATGTCAGCTTATGGTGGAAAAAAATAAAAACAGGCACCATCCAGAAAAGCCAGCTGTGTTTATTACATTTATTTGTTTAATTTTGTTTATATTAAAATTGGTGGGTTTTTTTTTTTTTTTTGAACACTTAGGAATTTATTTTAGGGAAATTAAGATGCACACAAATGTATTTGTATAAGGATGGTTTTAGTATAGTGTTGCTTATAGCTAAAAATACAAATAACCTAAATTTCAAATAATAAGTGGGGTTTTTTTTTTTTGGATGATTCTTTTTATTTGTGTGAATTTATGGGGTACATGTGAAATTTTGTTACATGTGCATAGTGCATAGTAGTGATCAAATCGGTATTCAGGGTGTCCATCACTTGAATGCATTACATTTTTTAAAGTATAGCCATCCTACTCTGTTATCAGACTTTGAATTTATTCCTTTTATCTTACTCTGTGTTTGTACCCTTCAACCTGCTTCTCTTCATCCTCCCCCCTCCTACTCAGCCTTCTCAGTCTCTGCTGTCTATTTTAAAGTTGTTTTAACTGAACATATCAGAAGAGTTTTAAACTTAACCATAAGTAGTTGGTGATATTAGTGATTCAAGAATTCCTGTGCTAATAAGTATATTGTATTTTTGAGTTACTTGTGTTGTTCTGTTTGGTTAGAATACTGATTCCATTTTATCTGGTGTCTCTTTATTTGATTGTTTAGGTGGAAAAATATGCTAAAGTAGAAAAGTCTATCAAATCTGATGACTCACAACCAACAGTCTGGCCAGCCCATGTAAGATCATTGCCTATGTTTCTAATGATGCTGTTTCTAATCTGGGATTTGAATTCATTATTAAACATAAAGTGCAATTGCCATAGTTTAGGATCTTTTTTAAAAAGGATTTTCTGAGGGTTCAGTGAATTACAAGAAGAAATAACTTTTTTTTTTTCTTAATAAAAGTATGGTTTCTGTTTTAAAGAGCAATTTTAATGCAGAACAGCATTTCTTTTGGTTTGCATATTGATAGTTCTGATTTGTTTTCTGTTTCAAATTAGTAAATTCTTCTAAGGATGTCTCTTAACAGAGATGTTTTGTGTAAGTTTCCCTAATTATAATAGTAACTTCTTAAAGGGAGAAATAGTCATAATATGTTAAATTAGGTGAACCCCCAAAGTGAAATGATGAGAGATGTTTTTTATGTATGGTAGCAAAAGCAGACAAATAGAAACAGATCTGCTTTTGAAAATTTTTTCCTCTTAATATTATTTAATATTTGCAATTCACATTTCCAGTATGAAATTCTGTATTTGTTTCAAGCTCGATTAGCTAAAAAAAAAAAAAAACCACCGTTGGAACTCTTCAAAAGTACCATGTAAAAAAGAATCTTGTATAGCCCTGCTGAGCGTGAAGGGGTGGGATAGCATGAGGGACAGGGACAGCAGCTGGGGGATGGACTACTGGCTCTTTGTATGACCCCAGTGAAATCATTTAACCTCTCTCTGCTCGGTTCTCTCACCTCTAATATGGAAATAATAACAGTACAGAGCATCACGATGTGGTGAAGATTATGAGGCAGTACTTGTAGAGTGCTGAGAACAATGTTTAATAAATGTTTACTGTTAGGATTTTCAACACATATATTAATATGCATAATGTATTTAATGAGATATTAATATTCTATGTTTATACTTGATGGTATATGTTAATGCTTTATTAGATGCACGTTTAGTGTGTATACATTTAAAAAAAACTATTATCCCGTGCTTTATTCTTTCAGGCAGTCTTAAACATCTTTATAGCCTGAGGGCCGTGTCTTCATACTATCAGATACAAGTTTGTCATTTAGTCCCAATTTTTACTAATGCTGATTGCTTGCTTACGTGAGAAGGCATTTATTTGGGGTGCTCTGTCTTTTTCAGGATGTAAAAGATGATTATGTATTTGAATGTGAAGCTGGCAGTCAATATCAGAAAACAAAGCTGACCATCTTACAGTCACTTGGTGATCCACTTTACTATGGTAAAATACAGCCATGTAAAGCAGATGAAGAAAGTGACAGCCAAGTGTCTCCATCACAGTGAGTTCTGTTAAATACTTCTGACAAAATCAGACATCCAGAATTTATCTAGCAACTACTGATGAACCATTAGTGAATAAAAATTTCCCTTTGGGCATTCATTTGCTAAACATACCAATTAGATTTGGTAGTGTACCTATGTAAGCTTAAATCATATACCATGTTGTCCAAGAGTTATTTAAAATATAATTTCTTTTTTAAAAAAAACGCTGTGGTATAATTATTTTTATTCTTACTTTGAAGGATATTCCTGTGATATCCTTGTTGGTATATTTATGGCACTTAAGACTTTAAACTCTGTGTAAGCAGGAAGTATTCGGGCAACTATATTTAAATGGGAAGCATGTTTGCTATAAATGTTAAGAGATCATTGGTATTTCACAACTGTGGATAAAGAGACAGACTCAGTGCTTAATATAGTTATTGGCCCTAGAAATACATATAGTTCATCTTCCAAAAATATGAATTATGTGTATTTAGTATAGGATATCAGTATTTTGTTTTTATTATTAGTTTTGTTTTCTAATCAATTTGATGCTGTTTTCAAAAGAAGGGGAAAAAAAGGAGCTCAGCAGAAAAGGGCAAGAATCGGGTTTACATGAAATTGTTTGTAAAGCCTTTACTTACACAAAATACTAATTGAAACTGTAGTAGAAACTCAAATTTAAAGAGTAACCTCACCCATACCTAGCTAAAAGTCAAGAGGAAATAGTAGCAGTCAGGGAATCCTTAGCTAATTTTTGTACAGTACCAGTTTTTATTTTTGTATACAAAGATCAGGTATTTTGATTACTTATATTTTAAAAAAATCTTTCACTTTTAAAGACATACATTGGTCATTTTAAATTTATTAACTTTTCTAGAATACAGGGGTAATATGGGTTCTCTCATGAAAAAAGAAAATCAGTCCAAAAAGCAAACTGATTAACTTGATTGACAGGAAGCGAATTGAAATGTTTGCCTTTATATCAGAGTCACTGCAAAAATGCTGCATTTATTATCCTCCAGTCATTCTTCCCTATTTATAAAATACTTTAGTTAAAAACTCTAAAGTTAAAGTTTGAGTTGCATTAACCAAGTTTTTTTTTTTTTTACATTTTATATTTCAGCTTCTCCACAGATGATCATTCAAATTGGTAATTAAAAAATAGACAAACTCACTATTTTAATCTGTTAGGAAATCATATAAATGTCAAACTCTTTAAAAAGACTTGGTAGAGATATTTTATTTGAATTGGTGATAAACTATCTTCCTTGTCTGAAATATATTCTAAGGTCCTGTTATGTGGGCATATGTAATAACTTCTAAAATCAAAGATTAAAGTGAGAGGAAGGCCAAGGCCTTGTACATGGTAGTTCAGTGATTTTGCTGTAGGGTCAACACTTGTAAAGGGTATATAGCACTTTGTAGCTTTCAGCCCAGATTTATATTCTGATAAATAAATTTTGCCCAAAATAAATCTCCCTTAAGTTAAATCTGCTAAATTATTCACATGCTTATTTCATAATGCATGCAAAACTTGGTCATTGTTTCATAAGTTCAAATGTATTTTTAACTTTTTTCACATAATATCTTGGTAGATTTAATATCAACTTATAAAATTTCTGTGACTGAAATATGGAGGACTTCAAAAGTAATTCCAGAGCTTCTTAAGACAACTCTTAACCTAATATTTCTCTCCTTTTTTTTTTTTTTTTAAACATTTTAGGTTTATTATTGGATCAAAGACTGATGCTGAGAGGTAAAAATATTTGCATCTTTATTTTTGGTCAGAAAGGATATGAAAAACTTTTCACCCCTATAAGATAGAGACTACTCCATTAGGAGTCAGAAACTTTGACTTTAGTTTTGCCATTAACTGGTCAAACATACAACATTTAGTATTTATGGGCCTCAGCTGTACAATTAGAATCTTTAGGGTTCTTTCCAACTTTAAAAACCTGTGATTCTGGGAAAATGTTTGAAAGAGTGTGATAACCAAACTATTAAGAATGGTTGTTTTAGGCCAGCCGTGGTGGCTAACGCTATAATCCTAGCACTCTGGGAGGCCAAGGCGGGAGGATCACTCGAGGTCAGGAGTTCAAGACCAGCCTGAGCAAGAGCGAGACCCCGTCTCTACTAAAAATAGAAAGAAATTAGCTGGACAACTAAAAATATATAGAAAAAATTACCCGGCATGGTGGCGCATGCCTGTAGTCCCAGCTACTCGGGAAGCTGAGGCAGGAGGGTCACTCGAGCCCAGGAGTTGGACGTTGCTGTGAGCTAGGCTGACGCCATGGCACTCTAGCCCTGGCGACAGAGCGAGACTCTGTCTAAAAAAAAGAAAAAGAATGATTGTTTTCATAGAATGAGATTTGGGGGACTGATTGTATTTTTCCTATGTTCTTAATAACCTAGGATATTTTTTCATGAAATTAAGAAACCAAAATAATAATAATGCTTAAAATACAGTTTTGTTTTAAATATAAAAACTTAGACATATCTGCTATAACGAAGATAATTTCTAGGTAATACATTACTCAGAATCTAAGAGAAAGGCAGTATTTTTTTCTTTGGCTGCTTATTGATTAAATAATCCCTGAAATTTCTGTATTAGAAATAAGATATCGAAAGTATATCTTTAGGCTGTTATCTAGCAAAATGTTTTAAACATTAGCTTGCTACTGAAAAAGTTAGAAAAATATGTGTTAAACATAAAGATAAATTGCCTAATTTAAATTTTTGTGTTAATTTTGATGGAACATTTTTTTCTCAGTAAGTCATTATTTCTTATATAATAAATTTGTGTTTAAAACAGGGTTAGCTAATCTTTACCTATTTTCCCTTAATATTTCAGGGTAGTTAATCAGTACCAGGAATTGGTCCAGAATGAAGCCAAATGTCCAGTCAAGATGTCACATAGCTCCAGTGGCTCAGCCAGTCTGAGTCAACTTTCTCCAGGGAAAGAAACAGAAGTGTGTTTATTACTGTTACTTTTTTGTGTCTAATTGTTTCTCAAGGAATCTGAGAAATGTTAAGCATCATTTTTTGAGAGGTGGGGGTATTGTTTATTTTTATTTTTACTTTTAACTTTTTTTATTCAACTTTTTATAATAGAAATTTTTTAATGTCCACTAAGGTAGAGAGAAGAGTGTAATGACCCATGTTCTAGTCATCTGGCTTCAATAATTGTTATTTTCCTGGAAAAGATAGACATAGAAGGGTGGGAACTTTGCATTCATCTTACTCTGCCCTTCTCTCTCAGATTCTTTCTCCCCACCGTATTACTCAGAAATGTTCTCAGCCTTTGTATTTACTGTAATATATTTTGTAGGGCTCATGTGAAATTATGTTCCTCTGTAATAATATTCAATCTATAACCACTAAGAGTATTTTGCAGTTGTAAATTGTGTGTTTTCATCTGGGAATTATAGTGGTATTTAACAAGTATGCTTAATGTCATTGTCTTTAAGCAGCCTGAGACCGTGTCCGTTCAGTCTTCCGTGTTGGGGAAGGGAGTAAAACATCGACCCCCACCCATCAAACTTCCCTCAAGCTCAGGAAATAGTTCCTCAGGTATTACATTTCTTAGTTTTTTATAATCTAGAGTAAGAGATATTATACAAAAGTAATCTCTTTTTAAGACTTTGCTCCTATTTCCATTTGTGCAATTCATAAAATTTTGAATAATAACCTAGAAAATAACTTATATTCTTCTTCTAGGTAACTATTTTACACCACAACAGGCAAGCAGCTTTCTTAAATCTCCGACTCCTCCTCCTTCTTCCAAGCCACCGAGTCTTTCTCGGAAGTCATCTGTGGATCTCAGTCAAGTTAGCATGCTTTCTCCAGCTGCCCTGTCACCTGCCAGCTCATCACAAAGTGAGTCATAACTTATATTCTTCATTAAGTCTTCATAAGCTTTTGCATTAATGTTTCTTAAGACAGCTTTTTTCGACCTGTGAATTAGTGAAATCTGAATGTACTGTGTACCCAAAATGTATAAGTTGCGAGAAGCTTCAGGCAGAGCTCTTGTTGATTGTATGTATTATGTCTTTATTGTAATTGTACTTGTTTTTCTGTATCTATGTATGCACTCTGTGTATACCTTTCTTATAGACTTACAACCTACACATCTCCTTAAAACAATAATCTGGTAGTTACATGTGGCAGTAAGATTTCAAAATATTTTTTATCCCAGTGTACCCTAGGATCATTTTACATTCTATGTAAACTATGTGGCTGATATGAAAAAAATGTCATAAGAGTTGTTGCTGCAGGTCCTATCTTTGTATATGTAAAAAGCCAACTAGTTCCAAGGTGCTGATACAATAAACTGAAAACCAGTATTTCAAAAACACTCCTACACTCTTTTATAAATTGTTGTCAGTTACTAAATGTGATGATGATCATAAAGCATTATTCTGAAGATATTAAAGTGTAATTTTTACTACTGAATACTTTTTTTTAAAAAAAACATCAAGAAGAGTTATACAAGAATGCTAGCATTAGTTGGGAAGAATTTCTTCAAATTAGTAAATATCTGAATATTTTAGGTACCAATGTGGGGGAAAAAAGCATTCCAGTTTTTTAGATTTTTTGTAGGTAACTAATGTGTGCTGAAAGTTTTAGTACACTGCACAGTGATAGGGTGGTCTTCGCATTAGATAAAAACATCTTCATCTTGATAGCTCAAAAGGTGTAATTTTTCTGCCTTCTTGTTTTGCACAAAGAAAAATATATAAATTTTCTGAAAGTCTTATTCACACTTCTTATGTTGTGGGTATGGATTATGGTAATCTACTGCACACAGTTGTTACTTTAAGTAAGGGTTGAGTGACAGCTTCTGGACATTCACATTTCTTTCCTTTCTTTCTGCAGGACATGAAAGCTAAAAAAGAAAACACCTCAAGAGCTTTTGGTTTTACTTTTTTGGTTTTTGTTTTTTGTTTTTGTTTTTTTTAAAAAATTGATAAACTGTGCATACTTCATTCACAACAGATTTTCTATACATTCTACATTTAAACAGAAGTACACAGTTACTGTTAAAGATGCAGTATTATCTATCAAATATTTGCTTTATTACTGTTTTTTGTAAATTGTTTGTCAGGATAAACTTTGATGTGTTAGGAATTAAACATGTATATTTAGGTGCCAAATACGATTGTTAACCACATGTAATTTATTAAATATGTTCATAGTTCATCTCAGACTGTTACACTAAATAAGCAATATTTTTAAATGAAGTCTTGAATTAGTAAAATCGTGAATAACAAATTACTTTGAATTACTTTTGAACTTTTTAGGCTAAAGGCAGCATGTAGGAAACAAACTTTTAAATGGGTATTGTGGTAGAATACAAATGTATAATTTTACTGTTATGGTAATAACATCTCTAATGGGATTTTTAGGTGATATACTGCATCCTTAATTGTAATTGAGTGTAGCAACACTCATGTATTGTGTAGATATTAACACTTGCAGTTAACTGCTTATAAAAAAAACTGGAACAAATTGTCAGTGCTAAGTAAGATTCCATTAACCTTATTTTAAAAAGGACTGGCCATTTATAACAAACTAGCAATTTTTATTTTTCTCAATGAGCAGGATCTGGAACTCCTAAGCCATCTACTCCTACACCAACCCCTTCATCGACCCCACACCCTCCTGATGCTCAGAGCTCAACTCCTAGTACCCCTTCAGCCACCCCTACTCCCCAAGATTCAGGCTTCACCCCTCAGCCCACTTTGTTAACTCAGTTTGCTCAGCAGCAAAGGTCTCTGAGCCAGGCAATGCCTGTAACGACCATTCCTCTTTCCACCATGGTAACATCTATAACTACAGGAACTACGGCCACCCAGGTCATGGCAAACTCTACTGGACTTAACTTCATCAATGTAGTGGGCTCTGTTTGGTAAGTTTGCATTGATGTCCTGTTTTTTTTTTTTTTTTTAAAGATTTTGTCACCAATCTAAATGAATTCTTAAATTGCATATTGCACAAATCGCAAAAGAATACTTTAGATATGGACAGAAGCTGCCTGACATGTGTGTTTTCATTTTATGTAACACATCTATTAAGTGCACTGAGATGATACTTCACACTGACGGCAGCTTGGATTTTTCTGTTTACCCTCTGTGTTATCATCTTTTAGTTCTTCGGTTAACACTTTACTTTCCCAAATTACATTTTAACCTTGATAAACACTCAGTACTTCATTTTAGCTAACCTTGCTGTCACTTTTTGGCATTAAAATGAGACTGAGCCTAGAAATTGATATTTAAGGCAGAAATAACTGATTGTATTTGTTCCGTAGTTTGTTTTTAATCCAAGGAATTGTGTTACTGATTTTTCCTTGTACAGTGGAAGTTTAATGCTTTGTTTTATTCTCCTGCAGTGGAGCCCAGGCTTTGATGAGTGGTTCAAACCCAATGCTGGGCTGTAACACTGGTGCCATAACTCCTGCAGGAATAAACTTGAGTGGACTTCTACCCTCGGGAGGTCTGCTACCAAATGCATTGCCCAGTGCGATGCAGGCAGCTTCTCAAGCAGGTCAGAATGTTGGAAATAATAACCTCTAAAAAAGTAAAGTACATTCTAAAGTAAAAATGTTATTTTAAGGTATTACTAAAGGCATGTAATATCATTATTTCATGGAGTATTATATCCCAGGTATTTAATTTCAAAAGCCTTTAAAATTCTGATATTTGAATCAAAAACCATCTAGCAGTCAGCTTCTGTGAAGAAACTTGGTAAGCCTGTGAATCTGTGCAAATTATCTTTTACTTTCCAAACATTGTAATAAAATTAATTTTCGTAGCCTTATTGTTGTCAGTACAGTCATGTTCCAGGAAAAATAAATGTATTTTAAAAATGTACATCATACAGGAGAGGCAACACAGCATGGCAGTTAAAAGCCTAGATTCTAGACCCGGATTACGTCAGTTTGAATCCCAGTTGTGCAACTCACTCTTTGTGTAATCTTAGGAAAGATCCTTTTGTGCTTCATTTTCTTGTAAATAAAATGGGGATAGTGATAATAACTCAAAGTTATGAGGATTAAATGCATACATGCAGATGATGTACTACTGTGCCTGAGACATGATAAGCATTATTATTACAAAATAGTTAATAATCACTTTTGCTTTTTTTTTTTTTGATGCTCTTTAAAAGAATACATTGTAGTATCTTGGAACAATTCAATTTCTTACTACTGAGGAAAAATTTAACAGGAAAAACAACATAATAAGAAAAAATTATCAAAAACTTTCTATGGGCTGCAGGCAGTGGTTCATGCCTATAATCTCAGGACTTTGGGAGGCTGAAGTAGAATCGCTAGAGGCCAGGAATTCAAGACCAGCCTAGGCAACATAGTGAGGCCCTGTCTCTACAAAATATAAAAACATAAAAATTAGCTGGGCATAGTGTTGCACACTTGTAGTCCTGGCTTCTCGGGAGGCTGAGGTAGGAGAATCCCTTGAGCCCAGGAGTTGAAGACTGCAATGAGCTGTGATCTTATCGCACCATTGCACTTCAGCCTAGGTGACAGTGAAGCCCTTCTTCAAACAAACAAATAAAAACAAACAAAAAAACTTTCTATGTTGGGGGGGAGGGGGAGCAAGGGCAACATACATAACCTAAACATCTGTACCCCATAATATGCTGAAACAAAAAAAACAAAAACAAAAACTTTCTATGAATTATAAGAGAACCCAAAGAATATAATGAAACATATTAACATGTTATGATTTCCTACTTCTAGCTACTGTTCTTATTTTAACAAGCATAAATGTTAAATGACTCTGTTGGCAAAAGCCCTGGAAATAGAATCAAATCTTGAATTTAGAGTATTTACGTTTATATGTAACTCTACCACTTGTAGCAGTTACACATGGCTTCAGTTGTAAACTGTGGGGCCTTAGAGAAGTCACTTAATTTTTCTCCCTTTAATGTAAAAATATCTTCAGTTGGAGCTTAAGAGAAATAAATGAAGTATAATAAAAGTGCCTTTGGTAAGCTAGAAAGCATCATACAGATGTCATCTATTAATACTTTAAAAGGGAGTTGAGCCACTTTTTATAAGAATTTTTCCTAAGAGGAATATCAATTTCATCATATTTCAATCTGATTATATTTTTCAGTTTTTTAAACAAGGCTTCAGTAGTATCACCTGTGAATTTCTTGCCTCACATCTTTTTCTTTTAATAAAATTATCTGATAGAGAGGACTAGATATATATTTTGTTAAGGAGCAAAATATACTTTAAGACCAGGGTCACCTGGCTGGCGTGGGAAACCTACAGCCTCAAGGCCACATGTGACCCTCCAGATCCCTAAGTGTGACACCTCAACCAAATCCAAGCTTCTCAAAACAAATCCCTTTATTAAAAGGATGTGTTTTATAAAATTTGGATTCAATCAAAAAGCTGCACTGAAGGATCCACAAGGCCACATGTGGCCCCAAGGCCTCAGGTTCCCCACCCCATGTGGCCCTCAAAGCCTACATTCTGGGGCTTTACTGAAAAAGTTTTTCACCCCCAGCTTTACAATATGTTCTGTGTTGCATCACAGATTTTTAGGAATAAGGTCAGAATTAACAGAGCACTGTTTCCTGACTTTGGGTTTTGATCGTTACACATAAAATTCAATATTGTTTAGCATTCTGAATATTGGCATTTGTAGTTAAAAAAAAAAAAAAAGCATAGAACACACCACTTCTTAGAGGTATTATTATAGTATACTATGTGGTGCTGAGAAATGTAAATAGATGACAGTACCTGAAATGTATTTGCACAACAGTGAGTTTTATTATATTCATGGTGTCCTAATAATTCTAGCTTATTCTTTGTTCAGCCAGCAGTCAGAATAGTGAAAAGAAGTCTCAGTTTCTGAGATATAGAATATAATGTACTTGTGGTACTCCACATCTTTGAGTAAAATCTCAGTATTGATAAATATTGACGAAAATGGTTTATTGTTTTTAAGATATTTTAAAAGTATGGAAAATAAGCATATCTGTGCAGAGAGTACATAAAATGTACTTAAATATACTAAGTATAAGTTATTTTCATATGTAATAAAGTTTCAATTCTGTTATAACCATGAGTTTTATTTGACAGGTGTTCCATTTGGTTTAAAAAATACTTCAAGTCTCAGACCCTTGAATCTACTCCAGGTAAACCTGAAACACTGCTTTTGATTAAAGTTTTTATACTTTGATTTTTTTCCTAAAAAATGTGTATCTCTATATGTCAGCATTTGAAATTTTGAGTTATGTTCAGAATCTTCTAAGGGTATGGTTCCTGTTGGTACCTTTATGTGGTCAGGTGGATACTGAGGAAGAATCAACATTCTATATACCACACTTTCATTGGCTCTAGCAGCCCTGCCTAATCAACTAGCTGTTCCACTGGGGAGGATTGACACCTTCCAAGGAGGATACTTGCTTACAACAGTAATAGTGGATATACTTATAAAATAATTGCTCTCCCAACAGATAATTTTATATAAACACTGTTACTTGCAGTAGATTTTGTGCTTGAATGGAGATTTTAAAAATAAGTATGTAATCTTTTCCTGAGGAGAGTATGATTTCTTAACATAGGGGCAGGCACCTAATAATCATTCAGTAAATGCTTGTTGGATTATAGTTACGTATCTAACGATGAGGCTTTGCTTTTCTTATATATATTATCAGTGTCAACATACTCATAAAGGTAGAAGATAGAGGTTTTATGGCACATAAATTTGCCATATTTCTGGGTTTATGTGCTAAGTCCTTTAATTTAAAGAAAGAATAAGGTATGAAGCTAGTTGTTTGGAAAATGGATAGAATTATATAGAGAACTTAAAGATAGATATGAATGTAAAGATCTGAAGATATGAAATGGTAGAACTATGGATTATTGGGAACAAACAGGTCAACCAACCTGGTATTTAGGAGTAACAATTGAGAAATTCATTACAGCTAACACTTAAGACTTATGTCTTATACAAGATGCAAACAGTGTCAGTATCCATAGACTGTAATTGCAGAACAATATACTTGTAATATGGGCAAGACCACAGATCACATTGGTTTATTTAGCCTATTTTCTTGCATATTACTGTTGGAATTTCTCTCAAGGATCAGTCTGAGCACTGATAATAAGGATAAGGCCACCTTATGAATTTATTATATTTTTCTACATTTACTATACACTGATTGAGAAAGGGACAATTGATCTGTGCTATGTCCAAATTTACCTAACAGTGAGCTGTGCAGAATATAGGATATTTTGACCTAAAGAGACCTATACAGATCTAAACTGTATAGCTAGTATTTTCTTGAACATTCTCCTAAGAGCCTCAAAGTACATAACTTAAATCTCTATAACTTAAAATGAAAAAGCTATTAGTTTTCTGGTTCTTTTGGAAAGTATTGTTTTAATTATTAACCTGAAGTTTCTGGATGCTTCTTAAACATTTTTTTTCTTTAATTTGATTCAATTTAGATTCACAATGACAGAACAAATTATAATCTCCAAACTAAATATAGACATCTAATGTACTTTCTTTTTGGCTTCAGAACTCCTATGTTATATAGAAATTCATGCATTTCTAGATTTTTAGCAAAGTTAGAACAAATTTTGGAGGATAGGTTTTCTTAATACACATTTCTGATTCCCAAGCTTGTTTTTACTTTCTAATGCATTTAATGCTCTTTTGTATTGATATATAAGAAGAGTGAAATAAAAAATAGTATGTAAATCTGGATGGCTATTCAACTATTGAAGCAGAAAGATTTACGTTTGAGATTATTAACGTTTGGGAGCCCAAAGTAGTAGCACTTAAAAATTGTTTCTAGGCTGGGCATGGTGGCTCACGCCTGTAATCCTAGCACTCTGGGAGGCTGAGGCGGGAGGATCGTTTGAGCTCAGGAGTTCGAGACCAGCCTGAGCAAGAGCGAGACCCCGTCTCTACTAAAAATAGAAAGAAATTAGCTGGACAACTAAAAATATATAGAAAAAATTAGCCGGACATGGTGGCACATGCCTGTAGTCCCAACTACTCGGGAGGCTGAGGCAGGAGGATCACTTGAGCCCAGGAGTTTGAGGTTGCTGTGAGCTAGGCTGATGCCACGGCACTGTAGCCTGGGCAACAGAGCGAGACTCTGTCTCCAAAAGAAAAAAAAAATTGTTTCTAAATAGGTATTTTTTTAAGGGTAGGCAATATGTTTTGGGTTTTGTTTACCTATTTCCTCAGTGACTAGAGTAGTACCTGACACGTAGTAAATGCTCCAAAACTATTTGTGGAATAAAGAAATTTAAATATTTCGTTTAAAAATAATGTTGGTTAATTGGTTATAATATTGGTTAATTCTTATGAAATTCTTAATAGCTTCCAGGTGGTTCACTCATTTTTAACACCCTGCAGCAGCAGCAACAGCAGCTGTCTCAGTTCGCACCGCAGCAACCTCAGCAGCCCACAAGTTCTAGTCCTCAACAGCCTGGGGAGCAGGTACGGGTTTTCTAGCCTTCCACATGCTTTTACCATAGACTTTATAACATTTTTTTTTTTGTATTCCAAGCGTACTTCATGTGCTTTTATTTAATTTATTGGAACAAACATTTCTTGTAATTTTTTCTTTGTTAACAGTAGTAGCTCTCAGTTATTGGGTTCCTATTTGTAATAAAACAGCCATATGAACAGAGGATGTCACCTGCATCTTGCATAGTAGGAATTCAGTCAGATAAATGACTCTCGCTAATAGCCACACAGTGAGCAGCAGAGCCAGGGATTCAAACCCAGGTCTTTTTGCCCTGATGGCCCATGTATTTTCTACGCAGTCATCATCTTTCTGTTTATAGGATTTTATTGGTATTGGTGTAGAGATGTCCCTGTTATGACATCATAGAGCAGTGGGAACACGGACAAAAACAAATGCTTGTATACTGCCAAACAGAATGAAATTGAATAAGAGCTGCAGTAAATTAAAGTAGAAGAAGGAACGACAAGTGTATCTAAACCTTGGCTACACTTTGGAAGCATCTGGGAAACTAAAAAGTACTGATTTCTGAGTCCCACCCCAAGAGTTTCTCTAGCTCACAGTTAAATTATATGAAATGTTCACCATTAATCCCTTTGCCCAAGTTTTCCCTGTCAAGTCTTAGTTGGATAAAGCTCATCCTCTGGTAGATTGTTCTGGAAAGACACATTCACAACTTTTTTTTTTTTATTCTTAACACATTAAGGATTGTTTGGTTATAAAATCCTTGATTTGCTTTCTTTCAATTTAAAAAAAAATTTTTAACTGTAAAACACATATAATTTATCATTTTAACCATTTTTAAGTGTGCAGTTCAGTAGTGTTAAGTATATTCACATTGTTACGCAACAGATTTCTAGAACTTCTTCATCTTGCAAAACTGACTCTATATCCAGTATATAACAATTTCCCATTTCCCCTTCTCACCTGTTGGCAACCACCATTCTACTTTATGTTTCTGTGAGTTTGACTACTCATTCAACGTACTTCATATAAGCGAAATCATATATTTTTTTATCCTTTTGTGTCTGGCTTATTTGTCCTTTTGTTTCTTAGCATAAAGTGAAACAAGATTCATCCATGTTGTAGCATGTGTCAGAATCTCCTTCTTTTTTAATGCTGAGCCATATTCATATATACCATATTTTGTTTATCCATTCATGCATTAATGGATACTTAAGTAGCTTCCATCTTTTGGCTATTATGGATAATGCTGGTGTGAGCACAGGTATAGTTACCTCTTTGAGACTCTGTTTTCAATTCTTTTGGATGTGTACCAAGAAATTAGATTGCTGAGTCATGTGGTAATTCTGTTTTTAATTTTTTAAGAAGCACCATACTGTTTTCCATAGTGGCTCTACCATTTTACATCATTCCTATCAACAGCGCACAAAGGTTCTCTCTAATGTGTCCATATCCTTGCCACCATTTTATTTTCTGGTGGTGGTTGTTGTTGGGGGCATTTTTTTTTTTTTATAGCAGCCATCCTAATGGGTGTAAGGTAATAATATGCATTTCCTTAATGATTAGTGATGTGGAACATCTTTTCATATGCTTCTTGGACATTTGTATATCTTCTTTAGAGAAAAGTCTATTCAGGTCCTTTGCCCATTTTTAATCAGGTTATTTTGTTGTCATTGTTGAATTTTAGTTCCTCATACATTATGTATATATATATCTCAGATATATTATTTGCATATATTTTCTCTCATTCATGGGTTGCCTTTTCACTCTTTTGATTGTATCCTTTGCACAAAATTTTTAATTTTGATATAGTCCATTTCATCTGTTTTTACTTTTATTGCCTGTGCTTTTGGTATCATATTGAAGATCATTGCCAAATCCAGTGTCATGAAGCTTTTTCACTGTCTTCTTCTATAGTTTTTGGTCTCTTTCTTCAGATTTATTGAAAATGCTTCCTAGTATTGACTTGCTTTGTATGTTTTTGAGAAATCTGACACCAGTCTAATTATCTTGCTCTTATAAGTTTATTTATTTAACCATTTTGCTTAGAGGCTCTGAAAGTTTATCTTTGAAGTCTAATATTTTCACTTAGATATGTGTCAGAATCGATCTTTTCATGTCTCTCCTGTGAATCCTTTTAATGTGTAGATTCAGGTCTTGATTTCTGGAACATTTTCTTGGATTATAGTTGTCTAGTTTCTTAAAGTGGAAGCTTAGATTATTGGATTGAGGTTTTTTCCTAAAGTAAACATTTATTGTTTCACATTTCCTTCTCAGTACTGCTTATATTAGGTCAAGTTATTTAATGGTGGTGTTTAGGTCGTCTACATCCATACTGACTTTCTTTCTACATGTTCTGAAGTGTTGAAGTCTTTAACCAAAACTGGAAATTGCTATCTGTCCTTTTGGTTCTATCAATTTTGCTGAAGGTTACTTTTTGAGGCTATGTTTTTAGGTGCACACACATTTAGGATTGTCATGATCTTATTTAATTGACCCCTTATCGTTAATAAATGACCTTTATCTCTGGTATTATTAGTAGTTCTTGCTTCTTTTGATTAATGTTAGCTTAGTATACCTTTTTCCATCCTTTTGGTTTTAGTCTGAATCTTTTTTTTTTTTTTTTGAGACAGAGTCTCGCTTTGCTGCCCGGGCTAGAGTGAGTGCCATGGCGTCAGCCTAGCTCACAGCAACCTCAAACTCCTGGGCTCAAGCAATCCTTCTGCCTCAGCCTCCCGAGTAGCTGGGACTACAGGCATGTGCCACCATACCCGGCTAATTTTTTCTATATATGTATATTTTTAGTTGTCCAGATCATTTTTTTCTATTTTTTAGTAGAGACAGGGTCTCACTCTTGCTCAGGCTGGTCTCGAACTCCTGACCTTGAGCGATCCACCCACCTCGGCCTCCCAGAGTGCTAGGATTACAGGCGTGAGCCACTGCGCCCGGCCCTAGTCTGAATCTTTTTATTTCTTAGTGTTTGTATTTTTTATTCAAGGTGTTTAGTCATTATTACAGCTTATTTGTGATTATTTAATTCCATTGGTGGTGGTGTCTCATAATCTTGTTAAGGTTGTCGGTGTTTTTAGGGAGGAAATTTGTACCAGCTGGGGTTTTTTTGCATTTGGGGATTGTTTTATGATAGCTATTATGAAAGTGATGTGCTCAGCTGTTTTCTATTGTTCATTTCATAAACTGGGTTTCAAGTTTAAGAGTGTCCCCTTACTGTCAGCTCTGTGCTCTTTGGTACAGTTTCTTTCTGTACCCAGGGAGGGCCCCTCAAAATAAATATAACTTTTGAAATGTTCAGCTTGCATTTATACTGAAATGTTATTTCTGACATTATTTTAGGTGGTATCAAAGAATGTCTTTTGCAGAGCAAAGTTTTTCATTTTGATGACGTCCAAGTTAATAGTTTCTTTCTATATAGAATGTGCTTTAAGTGTCACGTCTAGGAATTCTTTACCTAGCCCTAGGTCCCAAAGATTTTCTCCTATGTTTTCTTCTGACAGTTTTATAGTTCCCTATTTTAAATCTTGATCCATTGTCAGTTAATTTTTGTATAAGTGAGTTACAGGTACAGTTTTGTTTTTTTTTTGCCTGTGAATATGCTATTGCTCCAACACAAGTTGTTGAAAAAGTTATTCTTCCTCAATTGAATTACTTTTGCACCTTTCAGAAGTCATTTGGCTCTATTTGTGTGGGGCTGTTTTTGAGTTCTGTTTTGTTGCATTGATGATCTGTGTGTCTTCCTCAGTCAATACCACACTGTCGTGATCACTGTAGATTATGTAGTAAGTCTGTGTCTTCTCCACTTCATTCTTTTTCAGAATTGTTGTAGCTAGTCTAGATCCTTTACTTTTCCATATAAATTTTAGAATCATCTTGTCTGTATCTACAAAACACCTTGCTGGAATTTTTCAAGGAGTTAAATTTATCAGTTTGCGGGAGAATTGTCATCTTTATTACGTGCGTCTTCCACTCCATGAAAACAGTATGTCTCTATCTAAAATCAATGTTTTATAGTTTTTGGCATACAAGTCCTATATATGTTTTGTTAGATTTATACCTGAGGTTTGTTTTTTGTTTTTTTTTTTGCGAGCCATTGTGAATGGTATTATTTTTAATTTGTTTTCACATGTTTGTTGCTAGTATATAGTATTGATTTTTGTGTGTTGATTCTGTATTCTGCAATCCTACAGAACTTACTAGTTCTAGGACCTTTTTTATAGATTCCTCCGGATTTCCTAGATAGATAGTTGTGCCATTTGTAAATAAGGACAGTTTTCTTTTTTCTTTTACAATCTCTATGCCTTTTATTTCCTTTTCTTGACTTACTCTGCTGGCTAGAAGTTCCAGTACTATGTTTAGCTTACAAAGGATGTTTTAGGCTTCAAAAAATTGTTTTAATAAGGTTTTATAAAAGCTTTAGGGATTATTAATATAGCAAACAATAAGTACAGATTCAATTCTGAAAACTAAAGTTTTCTTTTTTCAAAATACTGTATTTATTCTTGCTTATTTTAAATACCTTTGAAGTTTTTCCCTTACATTATTCTTTTTACAAGACCTAGTCTAATATTGTTTTTTCTTATACAGGAAAAAAAATTCCAATTCCTTTTCACCAACTCAAAATTGTTTTTCCTTTTTATATAAGTCATTATTATTTTTTTATTCAGGGTTCTGAACAAGGTTCAACCAGTCAAGAACAGACCTTATCTGCTCAGCAAGCTGCTGTTATTAACCTTACCGGAGTAGGGAGTTTTATGCAGTCACAGGCAGCTGGTAGGTATTTTCATAACTTCATCTGTTGAATTTACTGAAAGTATCTAATCTATTTGGGATCTCACCACTTAAAAGTTTTCTTTTCCTTACCTTGTAAGCAGTAATCAGGGAAAAGTAAAGTTGTATTTAATGTGTGAACTATTCAATTGATTAACTAATGACTGTCTTGAGATTTTTTTTTCATTAATTCGACAGTTGATTAATTAAAAGAGCTTTGACTTACATATATTTATAGCAGTTGTTTTTTTCTCATGTTAAAGTTTGCTGGCAAAACTTTACATAATTATCCAACTTCCTAGGAAGCTACCAAGGCTGTTTTCAATATGTGCTAGCAGTTGTCTTAGTTATCTTAATAACTTTAAAGTTTTCCTGGGATATTGAGACTATGTTTTTCTTGATCACATAATCTTTTGTCTCATTCTGGTCGCTTGTGGTTGTATAAATGACTTAAATCTTAATGGTTAGTAGTATAACTTCTGTAAACCACTTTTGTCATTTGAAAAAAATGAGATTAAACTAATTACCGTTCACCACTTCAGCAGATCTGTGAGCCAGAGTTACCTTTAGTGATTATCCTATTAATTAAAGACAATGGGCCGGGCGCGGTGGCTCACGCCTGTAATCCTAGCACTCTGGGAGGCCGAGGCGGGCGGATTGTTTGAGCTCAGGAGTTCGAGACCAGCCTGAGCAAG